AGCAGCGGGCGGGTCAGGAGAGGTTTGCTGCGCCATGTGGTCACCTCCGGGGCAGGTGAGAATCTAACTCATGCTGAAGAGGCTTTGGCTTCTCAGTGCTGTGCTTTAACCTGTTGTGCCACCAGGGAGGGCCACACTTATTCTTTCATAGTTCTAGAGGCCAGAACTATAAAATCTATTTCACTGGGTCAAAACCAAAGTGTCAGCAGGATCAGGCTCTCTAGTGTTTCTAGAGGAAATTCCATTTCTGTACCTATCTGCTGGTACTCTTTGGCTTGTGATTCATCACTCCATTCCCTGCCTCCTCTTTTTCTGTGTCAAACTCCTTTTGCCTCTCCCTTATAAGGACACATATATTTAGGACCCACCTGGGTAATCCAGAATAAGCTCTCCATGTCAAAATACTTAACCTAATAATTTCTTCAAGATTTTTTGCTTTATAAGGTAACATTTAAAAGAATTGGGTGAATTTAATTTGTATAAAATGCTAAGAATACAAAAGCCAGATACAGAAGGTAGATTCATGGCATCCAGGGTCTTGAGGTGATTGCTGATAGGGTTTATTTGGGGTATGATTAAAATGTTCTGGAATTAGATAGTTGTGATGATTGTGCAATCCACCTAACTGTGCACTTTAAAAAAAATTTATATGCATAAATATATGTATACAAGAACTGGGGTACAGGCCATAGGTGTGGGGGTGAGAGACCTCACCAAAAACAGAGTGGGGAGCAGAACAGCCAGATGGAGTGAAAAACACTGCTTAGGGGAGCAGGGGGCAGGCCAGGAGAGGTCTGCCATATGTGGGGTCACTTCCCTGGACAGGGATTGAACTTGTGTTGCAGTGGCTCCGTACAGCCTCACAGTACTGCACACCTCAGCCCCTTGTGCCACCTAGGAGGGCACCCCCCCCCTTTTTTTTAAAGAGCTTTCAAATTTATTTATTTAAAGATTTTTTTTGTGTGTAGAAGACCTGGGTATAAGCAAGAGATGTGTGTGTGTATATATGTGTATGTGTGAGATTCACTAGAGACAGAGTGAGGAACAGAACAGGTGGATTTTTACTGAAATACATGAAAGGTAACAGAAGCTAGACAGGAGAGACTTTGCTGTGCCATACATGGCTTAGCTCCCTGGCTAGAGAGCAAACTCAGGCCTTAGCAGAGATTATGCTGAGATCTAATGCCTAGGCCACCAGAGGTTCTGCTCTTTCTTAAACAATATGATTTTTTCCTTCTGTGAGCTGAAATTCTGTCAAGATATCCTTAGTGTGCATCTATAAAAATAGATGCTCACTCACCTATTGGAGTCGGAAGTTAGTGAGTCTGTTATTTGGCAACTTATTTCCTTCCGTGTTAAGAAATATTTTAGAATTATTCATTGAACATTTTTACTCACTTTTTTTTTCTCTTTCTGTAACTCATTTGTGGATAGTGGATTTCCACCACTTAATGATTATCACTGTCAATATTTTGATGTCTTTTCTACCTGCCGATATTTTAAGCAATTGAAATGACATGTGGTTTTGCATCCTGAATTTTATAAGTCCTTAAAATTATTCATAAGCATTTAAACAAAAATTTAAATATTAATTTGGGAGTTACATTTTTATTCTTCCGTGTGCACACATTCTGCTCACTCTTCACCAAATCCCCTGTGCCAGTACTCCCTCACCCAGTCTCCCACATATTCATGAGCACTTCAATCGTATAAACTTTTAAGACTCTTGAGCAATATCTATGAAATTCTTTAGTGAATAGCTGAGGAGTGCTTGACTTTAGTTTTCTTTTTTCATACCTGTCAAATCATATTAGGTTCTATTATTGTATGCTTTTGGATATCAATACCAAGGAGAAGGAGTATTGTCTGTGTGCACTTTATAAATTGAGAGAAAAATATATTTCGTCAACTGTTCATAAACCCATAAAAAACAATCCCTAAATCCTTGTGATAGAGTGCCTCATGTCCAAGTTTTGGTTACTGTTTTTAATATTCTAGGAGTAGGAACCTCAAAGAAAGATGAGTTGGGAGAGAAAGAAAGAGGGAACATGCCTGACTCTCTCCTGTCCCAAACCTTTGTGATTGACTACTGCCTGGAGTCTTCCTCTTACTTATAACTGACTTCTTGTTACCTTTTAAGTCACAATTTAAGTGTCACTTCCTCAGAGACCCTCACCAACAATTCTATCTGCAGTAGACTCTGAAACTCTCTCACAACCCCTTGTATTACTTTCTCCACATAAAAGATGTTGAAGCTTTATTCTTTGTGCTATTTTTTTCTTTGTGATATCTTAAGTTCCTTTTAGAGACCAAAGGCGTATGAGAACTCAAAGAGAAAAAACAATATTCAAAATGTTTAACTTTTAAACTAGACTATGAAGGGAAGGTCCTGGGAAGAACCCCAACCAAAACAGTGAGGAAGGGAAAGCAGATGACCACCCATCCCCAACTTTTTTTTTTTAAGATATATTTATTTGTACATACAGAACTGGGGTACAGGCCAGAGACTCAGGGGCGGCGAGAGGCTTCACCAGAGACAGAGTGGGGAACAGAACAGGCAGATTGACGAAGTACACTGCTGAGGGGAGCAGCGGGTGGGTCAGGAGAGGTCCGCCACGCCATGTGGTCACCTCCGGGACAGGCAGGAATCGAACTCATGTGGAAGTGGCTTTAGCTTCTCAGTGCAGTGCTTTAACCCGCTGCGCCACCAGGGAGGGCCCCATTCCCAACTTTTAAGGGCTAATTGAGAAACTTTTCCCTAGGACATTGGATGGAGAAAAAAGGATGTCGGAAGGGAA